TCTGTATGGTTAGCCAGAACTGATAGGTTCAGGGTCTGTGCTTCAAGTTAAGTGTTCTGTGTGAACCAAACTGTGTGTATGTATGATTGAGACTAAGCCACGTTACTGTATCTTATTCACCTGATCATTTTATTTTCCCTGTGTGTTGTTTAAATAAACCTTATTCCTTTATTTGTTAAAAATCCATCCCTGGTCTGTGTGACTTCTTATAGGGAATGGTTGGTGGCAGCTTAGTGAAACTGTGGCATATCCCAGTAGGTCTGGGTTTGTCACACATGGAACCTGGAGAACACTAATCCGTTTATAAACAGTTTGTGGACACCTTTGAAACCGAGTTTGGAATTACAAGAGACTTTGAACCCCTTTTTGAACCCCCATTCTCTCAATGTTGATGTAGCAATAAACACAGAACCGTTTGATTTGTTACCACCGTCTCGTCCTTTATTGGAGGTGCCGACAGCTCCAAAAAATGAACCCTCACAGGCTTACAAGAAAAGAATTATAGTAATGTGGATCTTCTCCATCAAGAGTTACTGGGCAGTCAGCTCATTTTAAAAAGCCTTAGAGCAAGAAAATAAGCAGACTCCTCTCTTGTCTAAGATGCATAGGGTAAAAGGTAAAGGTTCCCCTTGACAATTTTTGTCCAGTCGTATCCGACTCTAGGGGGCGGCGCTCATCCCGCTCTTCAATCCATAGAGCCAGCGTTTTGTCCGAAGACAATCTTTCCGTGGTCACATGGCCAGTGTGATTTAGACACGGAACACTGTTTACCTTCTCACCGAGGTGGTCCCTATTTATCTACTCGCATTTGCATGCTTTCGAGCCGCTAGGTTGGCGGGAGCTGGGACAGGCGACGGGAGCTCACTCCGTCGCGGGGATTCGATCTTACGACTGCTTGGTCTTCTGACCCTGCAGCACAGGCTTCTGCGGTTTAACCCACAGCGCCACCACGTCCCTTTAGAGATGCATAGGGTATTTCATTTAAAAAAAAGTTGCTGAGAGCACAGGAGCAAGTACAGTAGATGTCTCTGTGGGAGGTGGCTGGTTTTCACTTCAGGTGGGTGTTACTAGTAAAAGGTCACAATGGCTGCCATCTCAACTTGTACAAGCAGGCATAATGAACATGATGTAATGATGGTCATTTGTCCTTGAAAGGAATTTGCATGAAGGCACAATTGGCACCATGATATGAGATCATAATGGTCTTTGTGCCTACCTCAGGAAATCAGCAGCAGTAGCATGAGGAGCTCCATGAGACAGTAGCAAAGGAGACCAATCCCTTCACCACCCCAGGAGCAGCAAAAGCATTAATTTAAAGGTACAGTCTCTAATGCAAGTGAGAATATGCAGGAACATTCAAGCACTGTCTCTTAATTGAGCTTAATGGACTATGTGATACAGGAATAGGAAGCTAAAGCACACTGGGCACCAAAGTGTTACTGAAATGTGTGACACATGAACACTGAAGCAGAAAGAAATGGGGAGAGAGCTCGTAGACAAGTACTACAGAGCACGTTTACACCAATGTAAATAAAATCACATGGAAAGTTATCATGTCACACCTCTGATCTTGTTTTTAGGTCAGATGGCTCTTTGGCCCCACAAAGGCATGAGGTGTGGGCTGCAGAATAAAGTTTTTCCATGACTGTGCTGAGTCTCAGAATGAAGGGAAGGGAAATTTGTGTACTTTTCTTTGAAAATATGCAAGTCTAGTACATAGATATCTGAGAGTTAATCTGGCAAGCTGAAAGTGGAACTAAGACAGCGGTACAGAGAAACTGTTATAAGGGCATACCGAGCCTATGATGTTACATTTTTAATGAGCTGAATGCATACGTACTCCAATTTTTATAAATCGTGGGGTGAGATGTGGAACTACTGAGCATGGCCAGAATCAAATCATACCATCCTATATTCCCTTTGCCAGTCTCCTGTTGGGATACAGATGGAGGAAGCAGGAACATGGCTATTGTGATAATGCTGCTTTAAAAAACAAACCCAAAAATGCACCTTTAAAAACCGCTTACAGCCACTGCAGAATCTCGAGATCTCTGGATGAAATTACTTTTTGGTATTAATGTATTTCTAAACTTACTATCGGCCATTTCCCTCAAAACATGTATCCTTGGTTGCTTATATGTGGATGTTGTCCCTTATTTCTGCTTTTTAAATTGTGCTCTGTAAGGCTGAAGGTGAGGGCAAGGTGCCGTCCTTCCCTCTTTTGGTCAATAAGGAGAGTCAGACCCCACCTATTCCCCCGCTTAGAAAGATGAAACAACCTGAACCAGACACTGGGAGGATAGAGGAGAGTTTAAGGAGTTAACGGTCGAACAGCCCGGGATTGACGTGGTGGGAAGGGAACAGAAAGTGCGGGAAGTGGTGGAGGCAGGGTTGGTGGATATAAAAGGGGGAAGGGAAGGACTCCTGCCAGACTGGGAGTCCATATGGGTTAAAGACCCTTGGACTGGAAAGGTGGAAAAGCTGAGTCCCCAAGGAGGAAGTGGATGCTCAAAGAGAACTGACCCCCAGACTCCCTTATGGGGGGGGGGGAGGGAGAGAGAGAGAGAGAGAAGAGAGTGGTGTAAGAAACTGAGGGAGGAAAAGGAGAGAGAATAGAGAGGATAGGATGGAGGATGCGGGAGATGGAACCCGGGGAAGACCCTGGCAGACGGGGGATCCTGCCTGGGACAGTGACTGGGTGGACTTTCAAGACAAGGACGCCATCCCCCTACTGGTGGGGGAGAAAGAATTATTATTGAACCCTGATACCCCACCTGAGTGGCCAGAACCTTGGAACGTTCATGAAGGAAACCCTCTCAAGTTTGAAGAATGGAAGCTCTGGACGGACCTGTTGTCTGACCGGGAGAGGAGTTGGAACATGTTGGTTGATACGGGACTATTGTTAAATAATCCAATAAATGTTACCCCTATTTTAAAACCAAGGAAGTCCGCTAATTTATTCAGGGTTACCGCAGAGCCTAACATCGAACCCTCACAGTAAGCTGCACTTCTTGTTGAAGAACCCCAGTGCTCTTCCACTCAATAGTTTATATATTTGAAAAAGAGACAGACAGCAACCCAGGACAACTGCTTCCCCCCCTTTTCAGCCACATTTTAGTGATCAGTTATTAAGTAAGGATTATATGGGAGAAGAAAATGTAGAAAATTACGACGTTAAAGCCTCCCCTATAAAACCCACTGCCTGTTTTCCAGGCCTGACCTTGCTTAACTTCCAAAACTGAATGGGATTGGGTGTGTTCAGGGTGGTATGGCGATACAACTTCTAATTCTTCAAGAGTAAATAGATTTCCATGTGTCATGTCCCATCAACTAGCTTCCAGTATACAGTGACCTGCAGAATTTTCAGTGCTATGTGAAGTATTTAGGAAGTTACTGAACTGCTGGATAGCTGAATGGATTGTGGAGCTTGATACCCCATTGTGCCTTCTTGATCATGTCTGGATTTGATGATCCATAGGGTTCCTTCCAGCTCTACAGTTTTAAGATTATTATTATGAGTGCCAACCCCAAGAGTGTTTCCATGGCCAGTAACTGAACCAAAGTCTTCTGAATCCTACTCCAACACACTACCCACTACAACTCCCAAAATGTATTTTGGATCACGATATATTGTTGGAAAAAATAAAGAAGCAATTTAACAGGTGTACCTATCATTTTGTTTTCAAAGCGTACAGGTATTTAAACAATTCAGGTACAGCTGCATTCTTTATGCTGCTATGCCTAAAGTTTGAGAACATATATCTCATGGAATTGACTGAAAGATGTTGTCCGTCTTTAATAATACTCATATAGAATATAACAATGTCCCACTTTTAATTTTTTTATAATTTAAATTATTATAGGTGAACGGCCCCAATCAGGCAGGAAATAAATGTTTAAATAATGCTCTAACAACAACTCTCTAAATTTTAGTGGGGGGGAGTAAATCCAAGGTGATCAGATTCAGAGTGAGTCTAAACACCACCAAATTTCCACTTTCCTTTATAAAACTTGACTCTACCACAGCCCAAAATATAAAAGCAGGTTTCCTTAGAAATAATCCGTGCACTAAACATAGTGGGTTTATTTTAATAGTAACCGAACAGCAAGCTAGCCATATACAGCACCGGATCATCATCCATTCATGTTTAGTCTTCATCCTCAGTGACCCACACTTTGGTTGTGATTACTGAATCTGCTCAGTAATAAAAAGGAAACAGACAGCTGTCTCTTTGGGAGGAAGCTTAGTTCTGTACCTCTCCTTGACAGGCAATCCTATACACACCCACTTTGAAGTAAGCTCAGTGAACAAAATGCGACTTGTAAGTAAATACTGTGCAGCGAAATGTGCGCTGCTTAGTTCTCTCCAGCTCCTCGTTCACGGCACAAGTACTGTACCATCAAACGAAAGGTGGGGAGAAGCCAATAAAGCGCAAGCCATATTTTTAGTCTTTTAAGGGGCTACACACAACGCTCCCTTGTTTTCGAAAAGAGAGGCAAAGAGAATGGGGAAGGAAATACAAAAGGGCTTAATGCCCTCCCGCTTCACAACATCTCCTGCGACGACGATTAAAAATGGCGGCCTCTCCCTTGGTGCTCTTTCTTCACGGTTTTTGCCTCACAGCACCCTGCCATCATCCTCATGAAAGCAAACTGGCTGTCCTTGAGGACGAGTTTGGGCAAAAAGAAAGGGGGAAAAAAAGACTCGAATAACCCGTGAGACAGCCTCGCGTCTTGCTCAACAATTCCGAGCGCCTTCCCCCGCTTTGACTCGATACGTAAGAACAACTACTGTATTTTTTCATTCCTATTCCCGTCAGCCCAACCTCCCTTCCCCGCCCTTTCTCAGCGCGACAACGACGTAACAGGCGTGTGAAGTCCCGAGGCTGTAATGGCAGCGGCGGGCTTGGAAAAAGATTAAGGGGGTGCGCGCGCACGGAGGAGAGGAGGGGCGACCGCGACGTGCGCGCACTCCCCGCCCGTCCACGTTACCTCCCTCGCTCTCCTCATATATACACAACCCAGAGACGGAAGGGGGAGGGGAAGCCCAGCCAAGCGCTGACAGGATTATGTCGAGCCCGGCCTGGGCCGACGCGCTAGACAGAGCCCCGAGTACTAATCTTGTTTTGGCAACGGCGGCCGCTGCGGAAATGGCCGAGCTCTCGCCAGCCTCTCGTTCTACCTTGAGCGCCGGCACCGTTTCTCTGCCGCTCATTGAATCAGGTAATACACAACGAGCGAGTGCCGCTGAGGAAGAGAGACAAGACAGGCAGACAACGGGGAGACCAGCAGTCGGGAGCTCCCTGTGGCTGCGCTGCCGCCATCTTACTGGTGTTGCTGATTATGAATTACAGTCACCTACGTTCCTCCCCCACCCCTCCCACCATCCCCAACATAGCCCAGCTGTAGATTCATATTTCTCTCTCTCTCTCTCTTTCCCTCTCCCCCTTCTCTCCCTCCTAGAACTGTACTTCCTTATAGCTCGGTTCTTGACCACTGGGCCTTGCAGGAGAGCAGCCGAGGTGAGTCTTTCTGAATCAGCGCCCTCCCTCCCCAGCCCCAAACGGGGAAGGGCTTCGTAGCGCCCCCCCCCTCATTTGGGTCAGCAGTTTAAAACCTCCCGCACCCAATATCTGCTTTTTCCTTTTCCTCTTTCACAGGTGCTGGTGCAAGAACTGGAACAGCACCAGGTCTGTGTAACACTTTCTACTTTTTTTTTTAAAACGAACTTTTGGGTTTTTATGCCACTCAATTTTAGCCAGTCTTCCTTGTATTTTATTTTGCTCTGTGACTTTTAAGGACGGGATCCTACCCTTCCTGTGCAAGTATTTGTAATTGTTTTATTTTTTTTGTCCCTTTATCTTCTCTTTTTCTCATTAGTCTCTCTTTTTTTCTTATTTGTTTTATTTCTTTCAATTTTAGTTACTTCCTAAAAGATTGGATTGGAAGGGAAAAGAGCATTGCAGAACGTACGAAGACTTGGTGAGACTTAAGAAAGAATTGGTTTGCTTAGAAGCCATAAATGTTAATTTGTTAAGACAATCGCACTTGTCCCCCCCCCTTTATCTGTTCTTTGTTAAGGGCTGTGCTTTTTGATGGAAAGTGTTTATTCTTGTGCCAGCAGCTGTAAATGGGACTCAGTAAACAGCGGATGTTGTCACTACACAGTGGAGGAGGAGTTGGGAGTATGTCGCCAGTGCTTCCCCCCCTGCTTGCATAGTTTTAGGGATGTGGCAACCTTTATAAAGCCTTTGTGTACAACATGATTTATAATCTTAGTAAAAAAAATCAAAACTGGAAAGACATGGTTTTTCTTGTACATGAAAAGTGACAACAAAAGACACTGAAGAATAAAAAAATGACAAAAATATATTTTTATTATGAAAATGTTGGTCTCTTGCTCCTGTCTCAAAGCACCAAATCAGTTTGGAAACCAGTAATTTGGGAACTATAAATTTACATTGAATAAATTTATTTATTTATTTATTTTTAAATAATAAGCTTTAGCTAATTAATTAGAAGATCAGAGTGGGTTTGATTTAAATCACTAGGCAGTAAGCTTTATACAAAAAATCAAATTTAACTACTTTTTTAAAAATTTTGGTGGGATTTTTCATTAATCGGATTTTTAAAAATAAAGTTCTAATTTAAATCAAATCAAATCCATTGTGCTGAAAATTCAGCATATGTTTAGGAACATTTCGTTCTAAACAGGTGATTAGGGCCTTTCCTTACTTCCTCTTGTGCACTTTGAAGCTTGTGGCAGAAGAAAAGAGCACTGCAAGATTCGACCCTTATATCTGTTTATTTTGTTCTTCATTGTTTCTCACCTACTTTTTTCATACTATATACTGTTAATGATGAATTGATATAATACACACTGCAGTGGCAGTTTGTCTCTAATTAAATAATTCTTTGGGAGTGTGGGTGTCATACAACTTGTGTGCAGTAGTATGAAGTTGCACACAACCCAAAATCAAAAAAGGAACTATAATTGGTGGCAATCTTCTCATAACATCAGGTTCACTGTGAAGATGGATCTCTGCCACAGTATACTGTTCATTGTAAATTGTAGTACAAGTACAGTGGTGCCTCGCTTACCGATCGCTCCGTTTAACGAAGAAATCGCTTAACGATGGGGTTTGGGCCATCGCCAGAGCGATCGGATAGCGATGGCCTCTATGGGGATAATTCGCTTTGCGATCATGGCAAAGCGACCCTTGTATGTCTGGGAGGAGGTGGGAGGATCCCCCCGGCGGGGAGCTAAGGGGGAGCCTCTCATCCCAGCCAAGGGATCCCGTGGAACCCCAGCCTCCACTGGGAGTCCCCCACCCCCCCCCCCGGCCTCTCTCTCCTCTGCCGGCTTCCCCCTTTCGCCTTCTAGCCCGGAGTCTGTCCTCCCCCCCTCCTCGCGAGGGGGGCCTCTTGCGAGCCCCCCCCGCCTGCCTTGCCTTAAAAGAGCAGAGAGGGCTGCTCCGCCGCTGCCAGGCTCCCACTCCAGACTAGGCTGCGCAGGGAGCGCGGCTCCGCTCTCCTCGCCTCCCCTGCCTTCCCTTTTTTTTCCCCCTTACTTCCTTCTCGCTCTCTCCCAAGCCAGGCTCAAGTGGGCAGACCTCAGAGCCCTTGGTGGCCAATCCCGGCTGTCTGGCCTTGGGCTCCGTTGGGGCGAGGGGAAGGGGGATGGGAACGTGCACTCACACACACCACACACTTGGTGGAGGAAAGCAGTGGTGGGCTCAGGCAGGCAGGAGAGAAAAAGAGAGAAGAAGAAATAGCTCCCTCGACAAGGAGAGCAGATGGGAACATTGCTCCTTCTCGCTTTTGCAATGCAAAGTTTAAAAAGGGTCTGGGAACTTTTCTTGAACAGCTGATAGGCGGTTTCAAAATGGTCATTGGCTGTTTTGCCTCCCTAAAGAGGCACCGAAAATGGCCACCCCTATGGAGGATCTTCACTTAAGGTTAGTTTTGAAGCCTATAGGAACGCATTAAACACGTTTTAATGCGTTTCTATGGGCTTTTAAAAATCA